ATGTGAAGGTGAACGTGTAAACGACGGAATATTTAGAACCGAAATTCCGAGCCACGATTTTGCCCTTGTTGGACCGCGGTGTCGTGTATGCGATAGCGCATGTCCGTGGCGGCGGTGAAAACGGACGCACGTGGTAACAACAGTTCATATCGCTTATGATAATTGGCTTACGGATTACAATGGTGTTAGGTATGAAGCGGCCAAGTATCTGACCAAGATAACAACATTTACCGACTTTATTGCGTGCGCCGAGCACTTGGTGGCCACCAAGGTCACTTCCCCTAGCCAACTGACGTGCGAAGGTCGCAGCGCTGGCGGGTTGCTTGTGGGGGCAGTGTTGAATATGCGCCCGGACTTGTTTACGGCGGTACGTTATCGTGTTGCCACGTCATATATTTGCAAATGTATGATGTCTCTTTCGAGTAGGCGGTGGCGGGAGTGCCGTTTGTGGACGTGATGAACACCATGAGCGACGCCACGATTCCGCTCACGACCGGCGAGTGGGTCGAGTGGGGCAACCCAAACGAACTCGAATATTTCGACTACATGTTGCAATATTCACCGTACGCTTTATCTCAAAATTTATATGTGGAACGGTTTTACCGTACTATATAACTTCTAACGGATATGTAGCTACGACAATGTCAAGGCCCAAGCGTATCCCAACCTGTTCGTGACCGGCGGCCTCTTTGATCCCCGTGTGGCGTATTGGGAACCCACGAAATGGGTAAGACTATTGTCTGTTACGAGTAAATTGGAGGCGACATTTTATCCGTTTTGGATTTATTATTTATGAGGTTTTCATACATGTGTCGTGTGCAGGTGGCGAAGTTGCGTGATTTGAAGACCGACAACAACCAGGTGCTGCTCAAGATGGATCTGGACGCTGGGCACTTCAGTGCGAGCGATCGATACCATTACTATAAGGAGAAGGCGGTGGAGCTCAGCTTCCTCTTGGACCAGCTCAAGTACCACCTCAAGTGCTAAAAGTAGTAGTAACCCACGTCACAGTCCCCTTTACAACAATATCAATTGTATGTATTCCATTCGTGTGTATGTATACTGGAGTATGAGTTAAGGGGATATCGCTGGGTTGGCTACGGAACTTTCGGATGCGAAGGTGTTGACGGTGGAGATGTGGGGAGGGCGAGGACTTGCCTCGTTCGAGGCTTCGAGGATGCACTGCTTGTAGTCCAGTCTTGGACGCAGTCTGCCTGTTCAAAGTGACCTGCGAGCAGTCGGTCCAACCACATGCCTTCGCCCTCGCGTTGAACTCGTCGCATACCTTCAGGGCGTCCATGATCATTCCTCAGTCGTTCGAAATGGCCCAATCAAACCCGAGAAACACCGTGTCGGATTATGACAATACACGTTTGATGAGTGTCCAAGTGGTTGTGAAGCGAACCAATGGTGATATGCTGATGGTGGAAGCAGACCTGGATGGCACTGTCCTGGCGTTCAAAGAAGGGCTGGAGGACGTGACGGGGGTCGCTC